GCGCAGCGCAGCACAGCCCCACCATCAGAAAAAAAAAATAAAAAAATTCTGGCCCTGTTTTTGCGTCGCCCGGTTCACCCGGGCGGACCCCCCGGGCCCAACCGGCCGGGGTCTGCCCGGCCGGGCGGCGGGGCAGCCTAGCTATGCAGGATGTTATGAAAAAAAACCTTGAACCTGGATAGATGGGACGTCAAACAATGGCACGCACTGTGAGATGGACGACGTAGAAATATTATATTGCAAAAACCCAGTCTGACAGAAGTGCGTAAATTCAGCAGACTTGGACCTCCGTTCCATCGATGTAAACGGCTTAGCAGGGTGGCGATCTGGGTTTTCCCGGATTCATGATTCCAACCAGTCCATTGGACGGTAGATGAAGTGGAAGGGCGATGGGCCTCCGTCTTAGGGATGCTCGAATTAGAATTACTGTGCATTCTTTGCATCTACTCCCCTAATACGGTTGGCGAGAGGCGTGACTTTCTTGGGGGGCTCGGAAGACAAGTCCCTGAAGGTATCCCCCTAATCATAGCAGGAGATTTTAATGCCACCGCTAACAGGAGACTCGATAGGTGGAACCTTCAGGAGTCCCCCTCCTTTGCCGCGATTGAAGATGAGAGAATGATAGCTGAACTATGTGGGACCCTCTCAGTCTTCGATACGTTTCGCCGACTGCACCCTCAAGCCAGGTCTTTCATATGCATAAGGGATAGTGATCCGACGCGGTTATCCAAATCTCGAATTGACCTGATCTTTCTTTCCAGTGACCTAGAAGGCGCATTGCGCTGGTCAATAATCCTCCCACGTAGCCCATATCAAGGACTAGATCACAAGTCTTATGGGATAATGCTGACAATGCGAAAACGGTCTAATCAAGGGTCTGGATTCTACAAGCTTAACACCTCTCTACTCAACGACATATCCTTCCAACAAATGGTTCGGCATGAATGACTCTTTTGGCGCCAACAAAAACATCTTTTCGACTCACAGTCCGCATGGTTTAATAATGGTCTGATTTTTCTAGCCAGGAAGTGCAAGGAATTCTTTAAAGCTAAGGCGGCGATGCGACAACAACATGAAATGTCCGTACACAAAGGATTGATAACCCTGGAATGTCAGGCAGAGTCTCATCATTTCACCTCCTCCATACAAAGAATACAAAAAATCAATGACCAATTCCTACGATACGCACTACACAGATGGCAAGGAATCAGAATCCGAGGGAAAATGACCAGATTCACCCAGGAGGCCACGATGGACACCCACTTCTTCTCAATCGCCATAACACGAGTACGACGGACTGTTATCGAAGCACTGTTTGACCCAGACGATGAGAATATCATAGCCACCGATACCGCTCACAACACACTTATCACAAGGAAATTCTTTAAACAATTCTATACCTCCCAAATTTCACCCTTACAAGAGGAAAGGACAGAAAAAGCGCTAGATGAATTCCTGACGCCAATGGATAAACACCTTTCCCCGCATCAACGAGATAAATTAGAGGAACCAATGACCAAAGACGAAGTGTGGTCTTCACTCCTCCAAATGAAAGAGGAAAAAAACCCCGACATTGATGGATTCTCTAAGGAATTCTGAGAAGTTATGTGGACTGACGTAAGTGAGGATTTATGAGACTATTATCAGGAGGTATGGGAAGCCGGGAAAATGGGGGAAACAGTG